CACCACACACACACACACAGACAGGCCTTTATTTAAAAAGCTGTGTTGGTGAACACATCCAATATACTCCGACCCTACAGGCTGTCTGTAATCTACCTCTCCTCTCCCTCCCTCCCTCTCTTATCTCCCTCCCCCCTCCCCTCCCCTCTTCCCCTGCTCCCAGGTGTCTTTGAGGGCAGCCTGACAGCCAGGCCAGCAGAAGCCCACCCCTGAGTTGATTAAAACCTATGTAATTAACCTAATTAACAGAGCTCCCAGAGGCCTAAGAAATCCTTGAAAGTTTGTGATTTTGGAGAACATAAATTGGATCCATAAAAGTTTTAGGACTAACTTTCACAGTGCCAAATTGACACTCAGCTGCACGGAGAAAAGCGGAAAATGAAATAATTAGTTTTAGATTACAGTGAATGGCTATTACACAATCCAAATTAGCCTCACACTCGGCTTACACAAACACTTGGAGGGCTTCTGGATGAAATGTATGTTCTCCACCATTTGAGATGGAGCCAAAGAACTAACAGCAGATTCCTCACTCGGTTTTCTTCATCAAAATAGATTCTTCACAGGAAGACTCCGTACAGTACAGTAGACTAGTTCATTCCACTGTTCCCCAGTGGATTAGTCTCCATCTCTTTACAACGTGGTCCTCAATACCTGGACAGTTTGCACAAGACAGCTTTGAAATCTGCCCTCGGTTGTGACTGACTGACATGTTTGTCTGCACTACAATGAAGAGAAATACAGTAAGACAACATCGAAGTGTTTTTGTTTGAGTGATCAAATATAAAGCGGTAATAAAATGTACCTGTAGCAGAAGTGACCTATTCCCTAAACCAGTGGTTCCCAACCTTTTTCTGTCTGATGTGTTGTTGTAAATGGATTTTATGGTGAATGGACTACTAAGTATATAACTTGATGATTCTTCAAATGAGACATGGTGATCCTGGTATTGTTATATTTGGTCTTTTTTCTTTTATTTACATTTGTGTTCCTACTATTTAGAGTGGCCCACTAGCTTCTAAATTAGTTAGTTAGTCGAGCGACCCCACAATCTTCCCACATACCCCTGGTGACTGCAGAAGTCCTCCCTGGGGTACAAGTACCCCTGCTGGGAATGACTGACCTTAACAATGGGGGAAATGTTTAACAATCCACAGACCGTAACAGTGCTGTGCTGTTGTTAGGCAGCACCAGGTGACTTTCTGTTCCGATAGTTTTCGGGTATTAACGTTGGTACGTTTTGGTAAAATCCTGAATCCAAAGTTTGAGAGGGTTGAGTTTTTGCAGAAGTTGTGTAGTTGACTGAGTGGGCTGCACTGCTGATGGCTTCATGTTTGACTGAACGCAGCAATAAACTAAGGATCAGGTTTTGGGCCTCAAGGTTTTTCTTCAGGATGGAGGACTATGAGTGACGCTCCTCCCCTCCTTCTACTCTCGGTCGGGCTTGAGGTTTTGAAAAGGCATTCCTCAGGTTGCCATGGTAAAAGCTGAATGACATCATTTGGGTTAGGATCTCAGCCCAGACCTCCCCTCTCCTTCCCACTCTTCCTCCATCTCCTCTCTCTGCCCCAACTCCTCTCATCCTCTCAATTAAAGCCCCCCCCTCCCCTCCCTTCCTCTCCTCTTCTCTCTCCTCATAACTCCTTTCATCTCCTGCCCTTTCTCCTAAAACCTCTGCTCCCCTCCTCCTACCGCTAAACCAGTGGGAGTGTGCCAGTCTCAGCCACTTCAAAGGCTAGAGCTGATCTCTGCTTTCATCTGGCAGAGAGGGAGAGGAGAGAGAGGAGATGAGGGGAGAGGAGAGGAGAAGTGGAAGAGGGAAAGCACAAGAGAACGAGAGAGAAAGAGGTGAAAAAGAAAGAAAATGAGGGAAAAGGAAAGAAAATGGGGGGAGAAAGGAGGAGAAATGGGTATAGAGGGTAACAAAAAGAGAAGAAAAGGGGTGACCAAGGAGAAAAGAGGGGGAGAGGGAGGGGAGAGTGGGAGAGGTCTCTATAGCAGGACAACAATACACCTTTATTATCGATCTGACAGGGTGTGTGTGTGATTGTGAGACAGAGTTTGTACATAGAAAGGGGTGAAAGCGACTATTTGTGTGTATTCATTGCGCGTGTGTGTGTGTGTGTGTGTGTGTGTCTCTGTGTGTGACAGGTCGCTGGTTTCATACATCAAGAGATCAAAGGAAGCATGGTCGCTACGGTGACAAAACCCTTGGCTCAAAGAGGGAACACACATTCGGCCCACATACTCATAAAAGGCAGCCAGATGCAAAGATACAGGTGTACACATGAACACGAACAAACACACACACACACACACACACACACACACACTCTATATAGATAGATGCAGAGTGAACAATTCAGGGAGTAAAATCTCTTCCAGCTCTATGACTGATTTTGCTTTGGCATTGGATTTGAAATATATGTAGAAATATATAGAGATTTTTAAATAGTTTTATGAAGCTTTTCTACTTTTCAGCTCATGTTACTTGAAAAACTTAAAAGTGACCATTACTTGCAGTGAGTCATTAAACAGAGAATCCCAGCTGAAGTAGTGTTCCCTGTATTTTTTAGTGGTTGAAATTGTGTTGATCCATACAAACCTCGCAGTTCCCAAACTTAAAAATCTTAAGTAAAAAAGCTGTTACTTTGTCAGGTGTGTGAGGGTGGTGCAGGTCATGTTTCCTGCCATTAGAATCATTAAGATCTCAAGAGACTCCCAAAAAAAGTTGAAGTTTTGTTTTTAATATGTCTCAGTGTGAGCTCACATCATCTCAGTTAACACTAGAAAACTAAAAAGATCCATTCCGACATGTGCAATGCATAGACATGTTAAGACATGCATAACACTAATAAGATGAATGAAAGGGCTGGAGGAGGCACATCTAAATCCACAATGATTTGTTATTGGTAACCTCTGAGATATTGTTTCAACACTGACAGAAATGAGCACTTTATATACAGCCAAATATCTCGTTTTGCCGCAGTTGTTTATTTAGTCAATCTGTGATCTGTGCAAAGTGTCTGTTACATCAAAATGGAATAATGGAAGGAATAAGCCCCAATACATTGATTTATTTCTCACACACACACACACTTAAATGCAGAAACACGCACCTGTTGGACGTAGTTATATCCTGCAGTAGACACATTAGCTCTGCCCCTTCAGGACACTCTAACCAATCAGATTGCTCCGTAGTCTGCACCTGAAGAAAGACGCAGAAAGGAAGAACAAAGTGAGCAAGACAAGAAGGTACGGTCACGTTATCTTCAGTTAAAAGGCAGCGGCCCACACTCGACAAAGGATGTGATGACATAGGTCTGACAGGTAATAAATGACACTGAGCAGTGTATGAGAGCATCGCTGCACTTTGTAGTCTGGCAGTGAAAAACAGGGAGATGACACACTGAATAATGACCTCTATTTTCAAACACAATGCATCACTGTTTCTGCTGGCCAACTGTGCACATTTACACAGTCAAAGTGGAACAAAAGTTCAACCTGCACCACACCAAAACAACACTTTAATTTTTTTTTCTTTTTGTTTAAAACGGGTTGTTTATCCAGTCAGCCTTGTAAAGTGATATTGGTTTAATATAAGAGCCAAAAAGTCAATATTCCTCACCAAACCCCTACAGGCTACCATTAGTCATCATGCTAAAGGTCAATAAATTACACTCACAACAAGCTCAAACACCCTACACCTCAGTGTGGCAGATTAGTGCAGCATGACTTTGTATGATGTCATGTTTAAAAGCCCTTTAGTCAGTACTGATATATGATCATAGAACTGTCTAACAGTGGTGTTTATCACTGTTTCTGTGATAACGAAGAAATACCTTCATGAAGCTCTGCAAACATAAGATGTATTTTGTCCCTGTCCTCTTCTTCCGGCTATTTGACTGATTAATCAAAGGAGGAAGAGAAGCAGCTATAAGCACTGATCACCATCACCAGTAATAAGAAAGCAGTGATGAAACGCTTACATACGTACATTACAACATTAGAAATATAATTTTCACATTCTTTGTTATTTTTTCACAGGGCCACTCAAAACCATCCCACAGACTACTACATTATAAGAAGCACTGGTCTGTGTTATTATCACACAATCATTTTTCAAGTTACCACGACCAACTGCTGAGTGACATCACACTCATTTGTCAGTGTCATTTCAAAGTAAATTCAAATCAAAGAGCTAATTTGCCAAAAATCCACACACACATACCCTGTGTGTTACATTAGTGCTTTCCCACATATTGTCAGTCATTTTGATTCTTGCCCTCCTTACTGCTCCTCTATGGATTTATTCTAGGATTCTACAGCTGGACTTACACACACTGTCCATTAGACTGTCAGCTAAAGAGTTTTCCTCTCTCTCCCTCCAATGTATTTCCTTATCACGTGTTTCTTCTTTTTGTCATCCCAAATCATCATTTGTTTTTATTCCTGTCCTGACATGTCTCCCCACACCATTATGTCTTGGCTTCACACCCACCCAGGAACACCTGGTCCACAGACTGCTGTGTGTGTGTGTGTGTGTGTGTGTGTGTGTGTGTGTTAAGATGGTTCTC